TATTTTTGGTTCAATTTTATTATCTTTAAATTCAATTCCAATTTCTTAGTCTAAGGATTGGCAAATTATCAATCTTTAATTGTAATTATATAGGTTTACATTTAATTAATAGCTATCTTATAATTATTTCAATACTAACGCATATTTATATGAGTTAAAATCAAGCAAATGAAATCATCAAATAGTGATGAATTGATAAGCATTTTATCTAATCGGAATAAGGAACAATTTAGCCGAGAAGTTTCCTTTCTCAGTCACTTTTTCAAAAATGGCTATTTGAAAGAGTTTCTGTTATTTAAATAATGAGAGAGTTGAACAATTTAGAATAAATGGATAACGAAGTTAACAATCATCGTGTCATTGCTACATTTTTATTATTTTTTTTTATTTTGCACGTCATTGAATTGAATAACTTCCGCTTTAATGCATAAGCGCACGTGAGAACTTTTGTTAATCTTTTTTAAATAACTCTTTCAATTATCCGTTTTGATTTGCTATTCGTAAAAAAGACGACTTTTTTTATTATTTGCTCGAAATAATGCTGGCAATTTCCGATGTTTCAATATTATCTATTATTTGTAAAATTTCATTTTTTTTAAATTCTTTATGAGAAAAAAAAATTTTTAATTACTACAAATTGCTTTAAAACTGTTTATCGTTTCCTTCAAAGTGCCATCCGTTTTTTACCAGAAATTTGCATCAAATTTACTAAAATGCTTTTCACTAGCGAAAAAATTTATTTTCAAAAATCGTAATAAGGCAGTTAAGATTTAAGTAAAATATTTGATAATTTCTTTGGTATCAGTCTTTATCTTTCAAAGTAAGTTAGACAACGATGTGAAGCCGCTTGACTACTAAAACTCTAACAAAGCAGAGAGGAATGCTGCATTTATTGAATTCGAAAATTTTAAATATTTCAACATCATAATACTAATTTCAGAAGCAGGAAAGCATAGACAGGTAATGATGTATTCAATTGTAACTATCACACTTGGTAATTGAATTTCTTAAGCAATTATTCAATGAGTTAATGATTTCCTTAATTTTGGACTTATTTCATCATTTTTTATCGATAATCTTTTCATTCACATGAATGTATTATAATTAGTTCAAACTTTTCAAACAAATTGACAATTTCAACTACTTGGTTAATGCTTGAGAAAATGCTAGCTTACTATTTGAAATGGCAAAAGTACAAGGATTGATGATGTGCTTAACATGTGATTTGTAATTATATGTTTTTTTTTTTGTTGTAGAATTTGACGAAATACTACTGGAAATTAATGAATTGATTATTTCAGGAACTTCTCAGCAGGAATCTGAAATCAGAAAGTTTTGCTAACGTGAAAGGTCACTTTTCTGTTACTTATTCAAATTTATCGCTTTTCCAATATCTTTTTCTACTGAATCGTTAACTTTTGTTGCGTCATATCTTCCCGTATGATTCCCAAACGGCTTTCCTGAATATCACTCAATCCGTAATAAAGAATGAAATAGCAAATAAATATAATTTAGCTATTCGTAACGATGAGAATTTGACGGATAAAATATTGATAAAAAATAAAATAACTTTTATCTGATTATTGATGGAGTAGACAAGCAAAAATTGATAAATGCTTCATCCTTCTCATTGCTATACTTTAATTTTGAAAAATTTTACTGTTTTTTTTGTTGTGAATTCCCAATTTAAGCTGTATATTTGTAATATTCTATAGCTTAACAATTTTTTAAATAATCTGCTTTATAATAAAGTTTTTTAATTTAAATTGTCCAATTCTCATTTTCTCTAAGTAATTGCTATGTTTCATCATTTTATATCCACTGATTACTGGAATAAAGTAAGCAGAAATTACTGGAATAAAGTAAACATGAAATATATGGTAGAAATGAGAGTATTACTAGATAATATTAATGATTATTTGATAGTAATAGCATTGAGTATGATTAATCTTATTTCGAGGCATTTTTTGATAGCATTTGTTAATATTCAAGCTGTAAATTTAACTTTTATGCTAGTTATTCAATCGTTATTTTCTTTTTTGCTGTTCTTTAAGAAGCTAATCAAATGGTGGCAATCCAATAGTTTCGGGTTTAAATTCGGTTAAACTTTTCAAAACAAATAAAATCATCTTTTGGCAATCTTCCGGTGGCTTCGAATAACGCGGATCAGGAACCATAATCACATGCATACCGGCAGCAACAGCTGCCCGAACACCATTAATGGAATCTTCAAATACCACAACATTTGCTGCATTCATTGGTTTTTTAATAAATCGTTGCATTGTAACCAAGAATGGATCCGGTGCTGGTTTACCATGTTTTATTGACGGATCGTCTGCAAGAACCTGAAAATGTTACTGATTTGTCGAGAGAAATGCGATAGATATGAAATACTCGTAAATTAATTGATTTCAACTTTCATATAACAGATAATGTAGAAATGTGAAATATTTTGCTTTCAAAGTTGACGATGAACAGCTAAAATAATAACACCTATTCATTTCATCATTTCTTTGATTATAATTTAGATAGTGAGCTGAAATAAAACAAGAAATGCTCTCAATATGTTTGATTTTTGTGAAAAATTTGCTCACTCGAAGATTTATCAGTTGTAGCAATTCCTGTTGCTTTCGCATTTTAGCCTCAAATTCAAAAGTATTGGAACCGGTGCAAAGTGCTATTGGTACCAAATGTTTGGCAAGATGTTTCACTAAACGCAATGCACCGGGTAATAATTTCGAATCAGGTAAATATTTGCTTGCAAGCTCCAAATATTTCTTTCTATACTGCTCCAATGTTATCTTTCCAATTAAATCTTCCTAAAATTATTTTGCTATTCATTTAAAAAAAAAAGGAAAAAAAAATTAAATGGATTCCTAATGCTGAATAAATTTTGATTCATTTGTTGATAATAAACTTCGAAAAAAAAATGTTTTGAATAAACAAAAAATCCGAATTTCTTTCATTTTCTTTTAACACAAAAAAAAAAATTTTTTTTATTTGGAATGAAAAACGAAAAATTTCAACAAGAAAATAAAAAAATGAATTCAAAAAATTTGCACATGTTCCAATACAAAATTAATTGATTCGTCCATTTTCATTCCAGCTGTTTTAGCTTTTAGTTCCATCGTATATTTCTTACCGTAACCAAGCAAAATTTCTTCATTTACTCGTGTATAAACACTTTCTGAGTCAAGTAATAATCCATCCAAATCAAATATTACGTGAGTGATCTTGAGGTCGTTTGAAATCATCCAATTGTTAAAATTTTTTCAACTTCCTTGTAAATAAAATAATAAAATAGCAATTATGTAAAAACATTATGTATTGATTTTTGGTTCTTAATAAGGTCTACAGTAACATTCACAGTACTGTTTAATTTACAATTAAAAAAATTATTCAGTGATTAATGAAATTACTTATAAATGTAAAAATTCATCATCATCATAGCATATCAGTTGCTAAAAATTCCACCAGATGAATTCATTAATTAAATTATTGTTAGTTGGTTTAAACATTATTACTAATTATTTCTATTATATTCTGTCTGTTCTATTTTATCATACAATTCAATAATAAATGTCAGTTTATTTTATAAATATGTAGTAAAAAAAATTGAGTCTAAGAATTATAATCCCCTCTGTAGCGAATTTAGTAATATCAGGATCCGTTTTCGAGAGGTCAGGCAAGATATTATTACCAAAATACCAACCGGAATATGATTATGTAAAATTAACAATGAGAGAAAAATTTTGTTAGCAATTTTAAAAAATTACTGAATATGAAAACGATTTTATTCGTATGATAAATAAATGGCATAAAGTAAAATATTAATTAAATAGGTTGTATCGTTTCCAACACTACATATTCAAATATTTGAACTCAAAATAAGGATATCTTTAATTAAGTTATTTATTTTGCGCAAGTTTAACAAATTTCATAAAAAAATACCAAATTAAGTAAAAGGATATATTATTTCGGTGTTGT